TTATTGTTGATGTAAAACGTGCAAGAAGATAAGCTCTGAATTTATTCGCCATTTATTTCACGTTTTATAAATGTTGTTACAGTTGAGATTTTCAATTCCGAAGTCCGTGCAGTTTGGACATATATCTACTTTTCCAAAGGTCACTCGTTCAGTCATTCTCAATCTAACTCAAAGTCTTACATCCATATGGCCTTTCTATTCAAATTTCCATATGGACATACATCTACTTTTCCAAAGGTCATTCCTATTATTGTGTTCTTTTTCCTTGAAAAAAAAAATTAATTAGTTTTGTTGTGACCAATAATCCATGTTCCCCCAAAACATTAACTGTTTCTCACTTCTTTCAGATCAATTGTGGTAATTCCTGCACGTAAAGAAAACTCAGAAGTGTAATGTAGTCGGTGTTCTAGTACAAACGAGTGGCGTAGATTAGGACAAGCAGGGGCAGCTCAATCTAATTTGAAGGGCCTTAGGAGAAAAATAAAAAGTGACTTTTTCAAAAATATAAATAAAATTAATCACAACTCAAAAACAAAATATTCAAATATATATATACACAAATTTATAATAACAAAAGTTAAAAAAATTTAAAAATAATTAAAGATTAGCTGAACCATTGAAAAAAAAAAAAAAAAAAACCTGATTTAGAAAACCCAAATCCAATACTTTTACAAATTTTTCAGTAGAATAAAAATGTGTTCATAATAACTAAAAATTTGTAATGAGAATGGAAGGGGAAGATATCTACGTTTTTGGAACGTCACTCACTCGTTGAGTGGGTCGATCTCAATCTAATATTTTGACAGCATTAGATGTAGCTAATTAGATCTGTTGTGGCCAATAATCCATGTGCCCCCAAAACACTAGCTGTCTCTCATTTATGTCAGAAGTTTTTTTTTTTTTTTTTGGTAGTCCTTCCTGTACGTCCTTGAAATAAAAACTCAGAAGAATGGTGCATGTGGCTGGTGGTCCAGTACAAACGATTGGCCTAAATTTTAGGCCAGCCATACTCTTATCATTGTGGTGTCGGGTCTTTTTGGTGTCTGTTTCCATCTGTGGTGTAATATTTCAGATTCGCTACAATAGCCCATTTTCAAAACAAAACATGTTTAGGCCGAATTGTATTGTTTTTAATAATACCAGAACACTTTCAAAATTTGGGCCAAAACTTGGAACAAAAAAAACTTGTTCCGACTTGTTCCACAAATTTTTTTAGGCCAAATCATTTCAGCCTCCCAATCACCTCCATCTCTATTCTCGTTCTCAACTCTGAACTTGCCCTAGTCTCTCTCTCCCTCTCTCTCTCTCTCTCTACAACTACAAACTACAAAATCTACAAGTATCAGAAGTCCCGCCTCCATCTTTATTCTCGTTCTCAACTCTGAACTTGCCCTAGTCTCTCTCTCTCTCTCTCTCTCTCTCTCTGCAACTGCAAACTGCAAACTGCAAAATCTACAATGATCAGAAGTCCTGCCTCCATCTCTATTCTCATTCACAACTCTAAACTTTGTTACATACCAAATTTCCCCCAACCCAAATTCGATCCCTTCCAATCAACCACTAAAACCAAATTTTGGATTTATGCTATGTTTTATCTAATTACTCTCATCTATAGAGCCGATTTTCCATAACCCATTTATGATTTCCCATAACTAAGCTCTGATTTAGGGTTTTGTAGAACAGATTGTTAAAAAAATCAAAACCCATATATTTCAATTTCCATGTTCCAGTTTTGGTTCGCCGTTCGCAAGCTTCAGCCGCTCTCTCAACTCTCAAGCTTGCCCCCTCTCTCTCTGCAACTGCTAACCTGTGTGTATGGGTTTTGTTTTAATTTTTTTTTTAAATCAACTAATCAAGCTCTGTAATTCTCTTGTTTTGCAAACTAATCAAGCTCTGTAATTAATTTATTTTAATCATCCAAAAAAAAAAAATTTAATTTCTATTCCAAAATTTTCACTCCAAATTTTCGTCCCAAACATGTTTTGTTCTCATTTCAAAGCACCACACTACAAAACACTTATTATGTTCTAGGCTAAAACAAAACACTACAAAGTACAACACTTCCCAAACGAGCCCGTGTTCAATTGTACATATAAGAAAATGTTGCTTTTGGAACTTTCTTTTACGAAGCTAATTTTGTTTTTTAAGAATAAATTTCATTGTACTAATTTGCCAATATTTTTTTTATAAATTGATAATATTATCATATATTCTTTTTTGGTCTTTTGTTCCACCTCCACCACCATTGCCACCACCACCATCACCCTCTACCACCATTGCCACCTTCACCACCGCCTTCCATCACCACCGCCACCGCCGCCACCACTACCATCGCCACCGCCACCGCCACCACCACCGCTGCCACCTTCCACCATTACCACCGCCACCGCCACCGCCACCGCTGCCACCTTCCACCACCACCTTTCACCACTACCACCATGACCTTTCACGAACACCACCATTGCCATCGCCACACCACCCTCCACTACAACTACCACATCACCCTACACTACAACTGCCACCTTCCGCCACTACCACCTTCTACCACCGTGACCTTCCACCACAACCACCACCTTCCACCACCACCGCTGCCGCCACCCTCAATAGTGATCTTCCACCTCCGCTGCCGCCACCCTCAACTGCGACCTTCCACCACTTCCACCACTACCGACATCATCACATTCCACCACCAGCCACCACCATCGCAACTGCCTTCTACCACCACCATCACCAACATTGCCATCGACTTCCACCACCGCCTTTACACTTTTTATTGGAAGTTTGCAATAATTATTAAGGGTAAAAGGATATTATTATCAAGAAAAATAATCTAAAAGTTAAAGTAAATTTAAGAAATGTGCTCCCCAAACGTTTTTTTTCTTTTGAATTCCTTTCAACAAAATTTCTTTCATGAATGCATTATCAATGAAAGACTTTTAATATGAGAAAGCTCCCCCAAAAGGACCTCAAGCTTCATTTGAACGGACTTTTCAGGACTTTTACTTCCATTATAATTCCTCTTTACTTGTTACACCAAACACTCGTATTTTTTTGAGAAGGGCTTCGTAGGTTTGGAAGCCCATTTGAAAGTCCCAGGAAGCCCCAAACAGGCACTCAATGTATAGTACTCATTTAATCAATTAAAGATATATTTAACCAACCAAAGATTAAATGTATTGCACTTACTATTTAATAAAGTAAAATTCAATGTATTGTACTCATTTAATCAAGTGCATGCAATGTATTATAATTAGTCCTATGTATTTCTTACCAAATTATTAATTTATGTAATAAATGGGGCCTATAGAAACCAATAAAGGAATTTTTGAAATGTATTATCTTATAAATTTAACGAAATTATTAATATAGTACACTGGCCCAAGTCGGGACCAACATAATTTATTATTTAAAAGATATTATTATTTGTAGAGTATTAATTTATAAAGATTATACGGCATATGATAAGTATATCACAAAATTACTCCTTATTAATGAAATTTAAAAAATAGAAAGAAAAAAAAAAGTTTTTAAAGCGAGAGTGTCTTCCAAGTTCCAAGTGTTTATTTATTGAATATAGATAATTTATTCATAATGTATTATCATATTAATTGACTATATATTATGGAAATAGACAAGTAAACTTGTTATAATATATAAATAAGTTGTCATTATTTGCATGTAGTGACGAAAAATTTCTACAGTATCTAATAATGTAAAAAATAAAAAATAAAAAAAATCTTATAAATGTAACTAAGTTTTATTTTATTTTTATTTTTTATTTTTTTTTGTCATTTGATATTCAGGTTTGTTCTTGTTTTATTTTTGCCCTTTACATTGTGGTCGAATTGATCTGAATTAGACTTTGAAGTCTGATCGAAAACTCAGTTCAAAAGCCAGCCCAAACAGGGTCTATATATGGCTAGTAAATTGAAACCCAGCCCAAAAAGGGGCTGGCTAGGAAATTTAAACCAAGCCCAAATATCATTAAGCTTATTTTGAACTAATCCAGTTAACATAATTGGTCCACAACATTGCATATAAGAGGAGGAATATAAGTGATCTTTTTTTTGTTTTTTTAAGTTAAATAGAGGAAGGACCGGTTTTTATTTTTATGACAAGGGGTAACGAGTGGGTGCTTCGTGATTCGATAAAAAAACGTAAGTTATTTGGTGGGACTATCACATAACACATCCATTCACTTTTTCATCTGAATTTGATATGGGGCTAACTCCCCTCTCCCTTGCTCAATTCTTCCTCACCTGAACTTGTAACGCCCTTATTACTGTTCGAATCACTCTTCCTACTCTAGGTGAAGACCAGGACGCGCCCTTCGGGACCACTCTTCCTACTCCAAGTGAATACCTAGACGCCCTCCGGGCGGGGCTCTTAGCGTGTCATTGAATAAATGATTGGATTTGTTTCTGATACAAACTATAACGGGTGGATGTTTTACGATCCGATCCAAAAATTTAAGTTATTAAGTGAGGTTAACACCCAACCCATATATATCCATTTAATTTTTTATCCGAATCCAATTGTTAGCTCACAGCCTTTCATTTATTTATTTTTGTCTTGCTTGATCATATTGAATGCCTAAATCAACATTGATAACAAACCATTGATCACTTCTTTTGTATTGGAATAGACTAAATTTAATTCAAAGCGGTTATTCGGTACACACTTCTATTGTATACTAAGATAAAAAGGGTTGCAATACCAAATTTGTGGAACCATATTTACTATCTACTTTGTTTTGTTGTATAATTTCATGGTAAAAATTATCTATAACATTAGAAAATTTTAAAATATCTTTCAATCCAAGTTTATTCCATATTACTATCTCGTTTGTTTTGTTGTATAATTTCATGGTAAAAATTATCTACAACATTAAAAAATCTTTCAATCCAAGTTTATTTTGCTTGTAATTTCTTATTTTAAATTTTGACAAGAACGAAATTTTGCTATGTCGATAAATAAACCCATAAGTTTTGCTTCAGGTAATAAATTTGAACCAAAAACATCCACAAAACATGCTAGCAATTCAATTATTCACTCTATTGTAAGTTTGTTGTCCATATCATATGGTAAAAAATCAAGTTAAAAAACTACATACAAATCGTATAAAAAAAAATGTCAAATTGTCTAAACTTGGTCATCCAACCTTAGTCTATCAAATGACCGTTCACCATTGGTGGCATCACTATTTGTTGTTGTCCCACCAAATAATCGATCCAACGGTGACTTGACGGACTTAAACAAACTCTTGGGTGTCACCGTAACTTCATCACTCTTTGGCGACCGGGCCGAACCGGCCCGAGAAAAGAATGGTGGTGTGATCGTAAACTCCCACCGGTCCGACCGCCCAGCCCGGTCGAACCGGTCATAATAAAAATAGTTCTTCCCTTGGTTGCTATTTCCGCTCCGGGTTCTAAAACCCTTTTTCGAACTCCTCGCCCTCGGAAATGCCACGCAACTCTTAGCCCTACTCAAGCTGGTGTTCATCAATCTATTTCGTACCTCCTCCGGCAATATTAGCGTGAACCTATCGCAATTCTCACCCGGTTGAACCACCGAGTGACCGGTCGAATGCGAGCGAGGGAATTTTCCAGTGTTTCGCTCTTTCTTCGACAACGATCGAGGTGGCCGGTTCGTAACCGTCCGGTAACTGTTCATCAAATCCGGTGATTTTACATTTGTAATCAAATCATCACCCCCCACAGGAGCAGAATTTTGGATGTCATGTGAACGATCCAACTCAACGAGTTCGCCGTCCGAGTCATGACTCAGCAACGTGACGGTACCGATTTCACCGGGTCTGGGAACAAGGTTAGCTCGGCAAACCGGGCACGTGACATGAGAAGCCAACCACGCGCCGACGCAATCCTGGTGAAACACGTGACTACACTTGGGCAGCAGACGAAGCATTTCGTCGTCCTCGAACTCGTTTAAGCACACGGCGCATTCTAGCGCGCCCTTGCCTATCTTGAGCCCTTTGACTTCCGAGTAGACGAACGTCGGGAAGGTGTCTAAAACTGCGGGCTCGAGCCCACGCGCCGCCGCACGCCGCCAGACGTGTCTGTCGCCGACTCCGTCGGTCGCCAGCGTTAAGCTCCGTATCATACGCCGGTCGGAGCACTGGCGGATGTAAATCGAAAAACAGCACATGAAGAAGAAGGCACCTATAAGGCAGACGAGTACGAGAGCCATTGATGGGCTGACCCGGAATCTCGGGTCCAAAGGATATTGTGACGGCGGAGGTACGGTTCCGGTCTGCGCAGTGACGTACGGCGCGAATGCTAAAAACATAAATATAATCATGATCGAGCTTGAAAGTCCAACGATCAAACGGCAGTGAGTTTCCATCATGAGGTTATGTAGAAACTAGCTACTGAATCTCTGGTCATGGCTATATATGGCTGTGGTTGCTTGCTAACATGCACTGGGAAGTGAAGCGCGACGAAATTATGAAGGATAAGTAAGTGCGTGGGGCTCACGCGCGACTTACTATGGCGTGTTTTAGGGATTAAGATTAGTTGGTGTTGACTTATGACTTTGTACACGTGGGGTCCAGTTAAGGGGAAGAAATGAATTATGCGGAGCGTTCGATGTAATGATTTGTTGTCAACGATGGAGTATGAATTAAGTTGGCGATAGGATCTTGTAAGAATTGCCACGTGGCAGAATCATTGTTTTCGACCCAAATGTGTTTTTGTCATCAATTTGGTCTTGCCGTAGTTGACGATGCGATTGAATCGAGAAAAGACATCGTTAGCGAAGTTAGAGCGAATTACGCAACAAAATTCCAAGTCATTTGAAGGTAAATTACTAATGACCGTTCAATGGGATTGTGTCTTGCGAGCTTTACAAACATTAGCTCATGACTAATTTTGTTTATAGTTATATTAAATTTTATTATTATTATTTTTTTTTTTTTAGTAATCATCCATAATCTTAAGTTCTAAATATGCAAAAGAGGTACAAACATAATCTTAAACTTTAAAGTTATACTTTCAGATTAACAAATAAAAATTACTCATTTACATATCCTTTGATTCTCTCCATAATTAATTATACATAACATTTTTTTATTTTTTTTTCCTAGCAAAAGAAAGTACATTAAGAGGAGAAAAACAAAGGGACACCACCCTCAACAAAACAAACAAGCCCCCAGGGCAACAAATTCCAATATGACATAGCAGATTTAGATTGAAGAGCCTTTTTAGCATTGACATGGGCAACCCTATTACAAGCCCGAGGAACCCAACATAATTGAATACTCACAAAATAATTAGAGAGTAGAAGAACATCTTCAAGCACCCTAGCCAACAACTCATTGGAAGCTTTCCTCTCAGTAAAAGATTTACAATCTAACTCGACAACAACTTCAGGACAACCCAACTGCGACAGGGACTTAAGACTCTCCCTTAGCGTGGGAGCTCCCGCAACTTCGGCGTTGGAGACAACAAGGAAGGGATACACCTAATGGTTGACCACCATGATCCCGAAGAATCATTCCTCCACCGGCTGCAAGGGACCGAGAATCATAGGAAGCATCATAATTAAGTTTAAAACTATTCAAAGCCGGTGGACACCAACAAGAAGGTCATGACGCTAGAGGCGGAAGAGTACATAAAAAGGGTTTCTCAATGACAGAAAATTCTTTGAATTCATAAAAATTCGACAAAACTTTATCCATAATGGCTGGCGGATCCTCTTTGGATTTATTGAAAACCCATTCATTCCTGTTTTTCCATAATTGCCAAGCTAAAAACAAACCCATGCTAAGGACACCAGCCGAGTTGTGGGAGTGTTTAGCCATAGTTAACAACTAAATCCAGAACTGTTGCCAAGAGGCATAACATACCTTACTTAAGCCCATTCTTAAAGGAGAAAGCTTCCAGACAAGTTGAGCAGTGGAACAATTGCATAGTAGATGGACCGTTGATTCCTCTTCTAGGCCATACCTGTTACAAACTACATCTGCCACTATATTTCTTTTTTTCAAATTAGTGAGGACCGGTAGCCTGTCAAGGCTACTTTGCCAAAGAAAGAAAGAAAATTTCCTTTTGGTTTTAACATTCCAAATGTTATGCCATTTACTTTGAAATTCCTGAGGGATACTACACTCTGGCCTACTTGAAAAGGCATTTAGAAACTGAAGATTCAGCGCTACAGTATAAGCTGATGTCACGAAGAATAAACCATTATTACTAAGACCCCAAATAAGATTGTCTGGACCTTGGGTTTTCGGGATAGGGATTTGTTGGATTAAAGAGCAATCCCTGTGATTGAATGAGGCTTGAATGAGCTCAACATTCCATTGTCTTAACTGAGGGTCGATGAGATCTTCGATGAGGCGAATGGCTCTATTTGAAGGAGGGACAAAAGAGATGAAATGGTTAGATTTATCCGGGAGCCAAGGGTCATCCCAACATCAGACCCTTGCTCCAATTCAAGTTTTCCAGACCTTTCATTTTCGGATAACAGGTTTAGTGTGCATCAGACCCTTCCAGAATCAAGAAAAGGAATTCTTGCAAAATGCCTCTAGAAATGAACAGTGTGGAAAATACTTGCATTTTAAAACCTAAAATAAGAGACAACTGTCTTCATCTTCAAAACGCCAAGTGCAATATTGAAGGCCAAAATATTCTTGAAAGATAGACCACCCAATGATTTCGCTTTGCATAACTTATCCTAACTAACCCACTTAACATGATTACTGAACTCTTTACCGCTCTACCAAAAGTTAATCAAATTGCTTCTAATCACATTGCAAATGTTAACCGGTAATTTAAAGTAAGACATGGAATAATTAGAAATAGAACTAAGAACGGACTTTACCAAAACATCACAGCTGGCCTTCGAAAACATTTCCCCCTTCAATGTTCGAACCTTGGCACCAACCTTGTTTGCAATAAAGTTGAAAAGACTCATTTTTGGATCTCATAATGATAGTGGGCAAACCCAGGTATCGATTAGACCGCTCATGTCCTTGAATCCCTAAAAGTCTTTGAAGAATAGTTATATCAATGGCCCCGGTATCGGGACTGCAGAAAATCTCTGATTTGTCATAATTAACGAGCTGACCAGATAAAGATTCATACGTGGTTAAGATGGTTTTCAGATAACTCACCTCATCCACTGTTGCTTTGCAAAACACCAGGGCATCGTCAGCTAAAAGCAAATGTGATATTGGAGGAACATCTTGCCCAAACTTGACCCCACTAATATCACCTTGAGAAGAACTAGCCTTAAGAGGAGATAAAAGGTCTTGAAAACAAAATAAAAATAAATAAGGAGAAAGGGGATCCCCTTGTCGGCAACCCCTTGATGGATGTATCAAGCCCCCAAACTCCCCTTTGATATTAACGGAGAAAGTAATTGAAAACACACAGCTCATCACCAAATTTAACTATCCATCAGCAAAACCCATTTTCTTCATTATTTGTTCTAGGAAATGCCATTCAACCATGTGATAGGCTTTTGACATGTCAAGTTTTAAAGCTGCTCCTTCCCGCCAACTACGTTTAGATTTAAGATAGTGATTTACCTCAAGGGCTAAGACAATATTATCATGAATTAACCACCCTGGGACAAAGGCACTTTGAGATGGACAAATAAGAGAGGGAAGGTAAGGTTTCAAACAGTTAGCTAATGCTTTGGAATAAATCTTATAAATCACATTGTAAAGAGAAATGGGGCAAAAATGACACATTTGGATTGGGTTCTTGATTTTGGGAATCATGACAATATTATTGTGGTTGAGACTAAGAAGATCATCTTTAAGGACGTCCCAATTTGTTTGAAAAAATAACGGGGTGAAACTATTAGGTCCCGGAGCTTTGAATGGCACCATTGACTGGACTGCAACCCAAAACTCATCCACAAATCCCTCTCTAAGCAGGGCCTCTTTGTCGCCTCCAAAATTAAAGGTTGGAAAGAGTCCCAAAATTGACCATTATTGTGAACTGTAGAAAGGTAAAACAGGTCCCTGAAATAAGATTCTGCAATTCGACAGATATCTTCCTTTGGAATCTTGCCAAACTCCTTACAGATCCTGAAGACCGGAGATTGAATTTTTCCTCCTGCGAATCATCGTTTTATGATGGAAATACCTGGTATTTTTATCGCCATGAAGAAGCCAAGCGATTCTGAATTTTGTTTCCAATGGATTTCATCTTCCCACCAAGTAATGCCCAACTCCTTCTCGAGTTGCTTAATCTCTTCTGAATTGTTACTGAGACTTTCTTTCAAGAGAGTGAGATGTTTTAAGACTTCGAGATCTTATCGCTGGCATTTTTTAAATGAATGCGATTCCATGTTTAACCTAGTTTGCATTAAAGTATAACTTTGTAACCCTTTAACCTCTGTTTGATATCCAAAAGGTTAATCAGTTCACGTAGTGAAGAATTCTAATACTGTGAAACTGTTTAATGGAACTTATTATATTTAACCTAGTTTGCATTAAAGTAAAAATGTCATTTAGTTGGAGAAGGCCACTTAACCAGTTGCAGCAAAAGAAGACTATGGTCAGACCCAACAAATGAGATGTGATCAATGCAGAATTTTTTGAACGATTCATGCCATAAATAGGTGCATAGCCCTCTATCAAGGAGATTGTGAATATTATTAAGACCGCCTCTGTGATTTGACCAAGTAAATGGAAATCCTCAAAAACCCATGTCAGAGAGACCATAGTCATTAATCAGATCACAAAAATCTTTCAACATCCAACCATGGGTATTTGCTCCTCCACTTTTTTCGGACGGGTGCACAAAGGTATTGCAATCGCCTAAAATGACCCATCAAGGCCCCAAGGTTGGTTGAAGATTTTTAAGAAAGTTCCATTGATTAGCTCTCTCTCCATTATTACAAGAGGCATATATACACCGCCGTAATGAACCAGGAACATGGAGAATCAACTTCTGATAACTTACACGTAATCTGAAAATTGTTGAAACTAACAATTTGAATATCTAACTCTTCCCAAAATAAAAGAGCGAGGCCTCTCGCAATACCCCTAGGAGGCACCGTGAACAACTTGTAGTGACCCAACTAACGACAAATATTTGCCACCTTAATATCTGTATTCTTCGTTTCCAACAAGAAAATTTAAAAAGGCAAATGAAGATGTACCAATCTTCTTAACTGGGAAACTGTCCTGGGGTTCTCCAAACCCTGATAGTTCCACACCATAGCATTCATTGGGTAGTTTGGGGCCAATTAAGGCTGGTCGCCTCCATTACCAAAGTTGAGAGCATGACATCATTACTTTGTGAGTTTTGATGAGCAAGAACAATGGACAAATTCCCCCTTCGAATTTAGAAAATTTCAGGACAAGTTCAGGCAGAGGATGCTTCGACTGGGTCTATGGATGCAGAGATTTGATGAGAACCAATAATTCTAGCTCTGTGTTTCCACGATGAGTGGGCTCTGGGTTCCCTCATTGTAGGAACACTCGCTTAAGTACAAATCAAAGGGCTTGGGGTGGAGGAGATGTGATCAGGCTGGGATGGTTGGATCTCACATGACCCACTATTAAATGTGTGA